CAATGAGGTGATAACTTAGCAGTTTTTGTAATTAAACGACAAGCTTGTTTGCAATGCTTCACAATCGCTCGCTCGCGGGTGCATGCGTTCGTTCTCTCTCTCTCTCGCTTTCTCTCTCCTTAATTCGAATTAATTTCAATAAATATCATATTTCACTAAAGAATTCTACCTCCAACGAGCTGTAGATAAAATAGTCTAACAAATTAAAATTACCGTTATTTTCCGGTCTTTATCCGTTCAGTCAGATTTTGTTCAAAGTCAAAACATCCATAACAGCCGTTGTCCATGCTGGCAAATAATAATGGCCATTCGACGTGAATTATATAAATAATTTTAACGGCCATTTAAAAGCCGAAGGTCTACCATGTGCATAGTAAAGCGATCACTGCAGACATTCCTTTTGGGAATTCATGTAAACACAGATATCGGATACCAGTCGTGTCTAAAGTGAATGTAAACAGCCCTGCCAAAAAATCGGATGTGCATTAAGACTTGCAGTGTAAACGCAGCCTCCGAGGCCCCAGGTGAGTGCACTGGTAAGTCATAGTACTTACCTGTATGACAAAATATTCATCCGCCCAGGACAGTAGTCCAGTAGCTTTCATTCATTTCAGCTTTATAGCAAAAAAAAAAAAACGTTTACTGAAGGATTTAAGAGAAAAAAAACAATTACATTACAGGTTAAACTTCAGCAACACTAGATGTCCAATAAACTAGGACTTTAAAGTTTATTATTAAATTGTTCAAGTTTAGTAAGAAAATTCACTCTTTAATATTATATTCAGCAGTTATTCACTTTAAGGTAAAACTATCTGCAGTTCTGCATGTTATACTGATATTTCACAAACAAGCCAAACAGCAAAACTACTACATAGTATGTTTGTGTTATACTAAAAACTAGTACTTTGCAATATACTAAACCAGTAGGTTAAATTCAGTGCGGTTTTTTTTTTACACTTCAAATCACCGACATTGTTGTACAATTACACAACCTTTCAGGTAAAAATAAAAACAGATACAGTTCCGCTGTGTATGTTTATTAAGTATTTTGAAAAATGGAAATCCTGCCAGTGATTCAAGTCATTGATAACACAAACCCCATTCACAAAATCCTATCTGTTTACCCACAACAGGACAGTGTATGAAAAATAGGCCTTTTCAGCTTTCACTAAACTATATTTACAATGGGATAGATCATGTAAAAGCAATCAAACAGAAGAAAGACTTAAAAGCAAGATCAATGACTGCATTGACGTCTTGCGTAAAATAGAGCTGGAAATACACGAGCATGGACATGAAGTCATTCGCAATGGGACTGATCCACAAACACACTGGTTTAACTCTGCTTTTAGATTGCCATGGACCGTCTTTAGTCATGCACCCCGGCCACTTGGGAATCGTCCATTGAAATTTCAAAAAGGGAAATCCAGGGAAATCTGGTTACAGTGAAGTGACGTAGTCTCTTTTCAGGTTAAAGGCATACAGCAGCAGTCTCCACAGATGGACTGTGTGAACTTCAGTCTTCAGCTCTCCCATTAGTGACTTCACTCAGGGTTCTGAGGTAAACCTGGGCCAGCCGAGTCCAACGTCCCTATACATGCGAATTAAATAAGTGTTTGCAATTCAATTAATGTCTTGAAGCAAATAAGCCACTATCAAAATAACTAGTCAAATTATTTTTTTATTTGAGTTCCCTTAGATTCACAAAACATATAAAAAGCATTCAAAACACAGAACAAAAGCAACCTCTTCTTGAAGCATTCTTCACTTTCATCATCAATACATCACCCCAGTTAAGCCACTCAGAACTCACGCTCGCCCCCATTCACCGCCCATTCCCAGAGCCCCGCTCACAGACAGCATCACATCACGTTCACACACGAGTTCAGTAACAGCGAGATAGAACACACACCATACAGAGCATTCACCTCAAATTAAGCAAGAACACAAATAGTTAGTAGATCACTTAAACATTCCACTACATTTTTTTTTTGGTTATTTTTTTTGTTTTAAATGCAGCTCTTTATATATGATTGCAATATAAGAAGGGGAGGAAGGTAGACAGAACAAGAGGGACGGAAGAATGTAAATGAATGTCCTTCTGATGGTCCTACAGAAAAAAAAACACTCGCTGCCTTCGTTCACACTCGCTCACACAGGTTCTTCTCACAGTCAGCATGTTGCTTTTCGGCATCGCACACTTGCGTTCAAGTTCTCTCTCTCTCTCAGTGCGTTCGCTCATTCAGTCTCTCACTCCTGGCGCACCAACAATCCATCACCATATCACTCTCAGCTCTCAAAAAAGCGGACAGATTTCATCCATGAAAAGGGGAAAAAAAAGACCACCCACCGTCTAACACAGTATATGCAGAGTGAAGCTGTGCTCTTTCATGGCAAAGCATTTACACATGGGAAGAAGGGAACTGATACTGAGATCGCTCGAACATTGCGGCCAACGAGGGGCTTCTTCCCGGGAAATTGGAAAAGAGGTGATGAACTGTAGAAGAGATTTATGAAGGCTTGACCATAAAAAACGTTGAGGGAAAAAAATGGCAGAAAACACAACTCAAATGGCTTTCCACATGGAGCATCTTTAAATGTACTGCATGTTGAGAGGGCACTGAAATGTAACAGATGCTCAGATATGTGGGCATACTGAAATAATGCCTGACACTAAATAAACTATATCCATAAGGGAAAAAAACTTCATTTCATTCCTAACAATTTCGACCACTCTAAATTAATCTTAAAGAGCAATCATTATATGTATACGAAGAACATTCAGTTTGACAAAATCAAAGGCAAATATTGAAGGGACATAATATCGGACTAAACTTTCTTCTCTCAAAATACTTACCATATAATCTAGATATTAGGATACTTCGAGACCCAATTGAAATCTCTCTACATTCCCCAGCTGGACTTTGTCTCCATGCTAGATCCAAAACCGGCGTTGAACCCACTGCTCGAGCCTGAATTGGTTCCCGCCCCCCACCCAAGACTAGCTGAGCTGCCGGTGTTGTAGTTATTGCTGCTTGTGTTGTAACTCTGGTTCTGATCTCTACTACCGCTGTTCTGCCCGCTAGGGGTTGTGCCGGTAGCGGCTGTCTGATTCTGCTGATTGGCCAGCATTCCCATCATGCCCCAGCTACTCTGAAGGGCTGCCTGAGCAGCTGCCATCATGGCTGGATTCAAGCTAAGGGCCCCAAAATTCACATTGCTGTTGGGACTGCGACTACTGCCAAAGCCCTGCCCCCCAAACCCCCCGAACCGCCCACGATCCATCATTTGCCTACTATTATTGTGCTTAGGCTCAGCGTTGGAGATGTGCACGCTGGTTCCTTTAATGATCAGGTCCTCACCGCACAGAGACTGGGCAACCTGGAGGAAAACAACCATGCATTAATTTGAGAAAAGAATGAGAGTAAGCCAAATAACGAGAACGAAAAATACAGAAGACCGACCTGATCGTCAGCAAAGGTGACGAAGGCAAAGGCTCGGAAAGGTTTGGGAATAAACACATCTGTGACTTCGCCGTACTGCATAAAAAACTGTCTAAGCTCATCGGTTGTCATGTCCTCAGTGCAGCGGCCCACAAATACTTTCCTGCTTCTCATAGGCTCATCCGGACCAGCCTGTTCCAGGAAAAACTAGATCATTTAATAGAAAACAGGGTCTACTCATGCAATGTTCACAACGGTAAGGGCATCACAAAACATTTGAAACAACTTATATGTTCGAATTTAAAACCTTTACTAATCTATAAGCGCAAGTATAACTTGTATATGAAAATGTTAACTATGTGTGCTATTACATGGAAATACCTTTGAGTTGGGAAGTTTGCAGTCGCACCATCTTCCATCAATCATATGCCGCTGGGACATGGCTTTTATTTGTGTTTCGTAGTCTGTAAATCTTACAAAGCCAAATCCTTTGGAATTTCCGGTTTTTGCATCTCTTTTCACCTGAGGGAACAGGTCATACATGACATTAATAGTAAACCCAAAAATGATAATTATATCATTATTTACTCTACCTTTTTAAAACATGTACGACTTTTCTTTCTTTCTAACCCCAAAGGAGTTGTTTAAAGCAGAATTCTGAGCTGCTCATTTCCATACAACAAAAGTGAATTATCAAACACTACTTCATTGTGGAAGATTTGTACCAGGAAAAAAAAAGCTATTTTTTTCATTTCCTATAGTGGAAATTCATCACAATTAACTTTTCTCCAAGTTCATTTAGCCTTTTCTAATCATGTCCACAATTTTCTGTGTATTTAGCAAGTGCCACAAAAGTCACCTAGATTTGTACCATTCCAATAAAGTACAAAAAAAAAGAAGTAGTTTTTTCCCTTCTAAAATTATTGAAAACATCAGAGGGTTAGGCAGGATTTTACATAAATATAGATTTAAAATTCCAGCCTGTTTTCCCATACAAAGCTATTGTAGTTTCAGAAGACATAATATTGCAGAAAAGTTATCATTGCCTACTGCCATGCTTTTTGTTTTTTTTTCCCCCCATTTTTGTAGGTTGACAGCCTAAAAAGCCCTTCGCAGCCCCCATCCACTTTCAATTAATGAAAGAGAGCAACATAAACATTGTTCAAAAATTCTTTATGCTCCACAGATGAAAACCCATCATATACAGGTTTGGAACCACATGAGAGCAAGAAAACTTATGTTTATGTTTGGGGTGAACTGTCCCTTTAGGTTTGTTCATACTAACCTGCACCATGATCACCTCTCCAAAAGTGCCGAAGTAATCTTTAAGGTCTTGCTCTGTTGTTTTCCATGGCAACCCAAGCACAATCAAATCTGATGTCTTCTGCACACCTCTCTTGATCTTCACAGCCGATGCAGCATCCATTTCATCCATCTTCCTCTTGTTATCTGAAAATGTATGGTATTTTATTATTATGGTTATTCGATTTATTTAAAGACAATCAACTAGATTGAATTTACATGCACAATATGCATTAGTAGTGGAATAAGTGTGTGAATGACATCAGACCATATTTTCTGTGCATCAACAAGTCCCAAATTATTTGATGTAACTGCAATCAAACAAACACAACACTACCATATCTGAGCTTACCTTTTGGATAATTGACCACATACACCAGATTGCCCCAGTCTGATTCGGGTGCATGAAGAACCCCCTCTGCTAGTCGGACCCCTCTCATGCACTGAGACACGGGGCTACGGTACCTAAGGCCGCAGGCACCGGGAAACTGCGCGGAGACGGTGGAGAGCAGCACGGTGCCGTCCTCCTCGGACGGGATCTCCATCGGCTCCTCGTTCTCGTCCTCCGCGACGCGAATGTAACACTCCGTCATGTTTAACGTTACACTGAGAGCGCGAGCTGTGCTAACAGCGTCCGAGCAGATAAATAATTCAGCTATAAGACAACAAACGGGGCTGAAACGGAAACGAGTACACCGGAAAGACCTCAGAAGTAAACACAACCACAAATCAGTTGGCAACAAGACTGATGTCTATTGTTTACGAGCGACTGTCGTCAAATAATGTAGTGTGCCACTAACTCAGCTAAGCTACTTGCTAACCGCGCGCACGATAGAAATGAATGGCTCGTAGCGTCGCACCCTGTTCCCGCCAATTGTCACCGTGTGCAAACACCTACTCATCGAATATACGTGATTATCTACCGATTGTGATTAAAACACGCAATGTAAAGTAATAAAAAAGAAAGAACGCGTGGACTAATGCATCCAGTTGCCGCTCCGACCCCCTAAACCGATAAAATGGCCACCCAGATGCGTCACTGAAGAAATGACATCATCCGTTTGGAGCGTCGCATCACAGCACGTGGAGGGGTTTGTAAATGTAAAACGTTGACTTTTTAAACGCATAACGTAGTTTGTGGTATACTGTTTCAGATGGTGTGATTTGATCGTGTTTGTTCGTGATCTTGATGGACCGGCAGTGTTGTTATTTTTACTTAAGGATGTTGAAATAATGTCAAATATGCAAGAATCCACTGTAGTATTGAAAGCTTCTCCTCATATCACATCTTACAGGTTTGTTACATCAGATTTAGAACAGACAAAAGCCCTGAAAAACAATGGATTTAATGGCAAAGGCTTTTATCATTACCAGTGTGCAACAGAGTTGATTAGAATAGTCTGTGTATGTATTACAAAACAAAACAAACTTGAAACAACTAAATATATTGGTTACTTTAA